CCAAAACCCCAAAACCCCAAAACCCCAAGTGCATGTTTTTCCAGCATTCAGGGAAGGAATAATTAAATGAAATAAAACTGAATGATTCCAAAAATGATGTTAATGATATCTTGCTTATTTTTATCTCTTGATTGTGAGCAGAATGGTGAGTCTCACAAATTATTAAAAGTTATTCTGTATCTTGGGAAAACATGCTCATTGAAAGTGGAAATAGGTAGTCCAATTCTTTAATTCCATTTTGATTCCTTTTTGATAACTTCTGGACTTTTAGCAGTTCTCAGTTGCAGTATTTCTGGATCTTGGAGTTATGCAACGCTTTTGTTAGTGTTAAGGAAACGCTCAGCTTTTTGAGATTTATAGAAATCAGAGGATGTCTGCTGCTTGATCTACTTGCCCTTAGGAGAATACTTATGATAAACTTCCATTGGTGCGAAGTTAATATTGCTATATTAATTATGTTAATTGTTGTTTTCGAATTACCCTGAGTATCCTTTCTAATCATATTGGATGGGTTTATCAAAGAACTCTCTAAAGTTATTGTGCACTCTATCATTATTCTTGCTGTGCATCTTGCTGAAGTAGTCATCCCACTTTCCCAGAGCTGCTTAACTCTGGCTTCTTCTCATCATGAGAGTCTGCTGATGCTAAACGATTTCCTTCATGCTTTTTTCAGGATGATAGGGCTTCAAAAGTCTCTGATCGTTTACTCTTTCATTCTTATCAAAATAATTCTATAAACGACATTCGTGATTGCCATAAATCATATAATTTTACTCTGTAAAACGGGTGTGCCTTGGCGAGATTATTGCGAGACGAAACATGAAATCTTGGATTCCAAACTTTCTTCTTTTGCATTCCAATTTAAGGCAAAAAGTATTGGCCTTGACTACCAGAATTTTGCAATGTTCTTGCACCTTGGACCTAGAAATTAATTCCACTTTTTTAGAATTGCTAAGATGATCTAAGTACAGATTGAGTATTTGTATTGAACTATTACTATTTATAAGTCATTAAATTCAAAATTTCAATAAGGGAAATACCTAGTTGCTTTCAGTCATAGGCTGTTCAAGTACTGGTTCTTAATTTACTTCTGACATTTTATTTAAGATTTATATACATTTAAATAAGTTTGAGATTTATTTAGTTAAAACATAGGTGCCAAATATATTAAATTCCCAGTTAAAATCAATTAAATTTAGTTTTTGGTAATAAGTGGTTTTTTATAAGCTTATTCTAATTTCACTTTTAATTCACAATCATTAAAATCGTTTTATCTCTACTCTGATTCTCAGATCTCACTGTTGTTTCCTAGTCTAGAATTGCTGGCTCTTATTTTATCTTCAAATTCCTTCATTTTATTTTCGAGATCATTTTTGTTTCTCTCAAGCCTCACAAGTTTAGCCTTGAACTCTTGTATAGATTCTTTTTTCCTGTGCATAGTATTAGGAGTATTATCTGCTGTCATATTACTCTTATTTAGTCTGTAATTCTGACTCTTTGCCTTTTTATCATCTTCTATAGTAATATTATCAAGACTTGCATCATTTTCTTTGGCATGCGGAGATTTTACAGCTGAATTTTCTTTCATGTTGCTTTAAGTGTTATTCCTAATGGATCTATAAATGAGGTTAAAATATACTGAATTATTACGAATAAAATGCAGGCTTCTTAAAAAGCTAAGAGAGTTTGGTTGATTAAAACATTTCACTTAGGTTTTAGAGTCTAGAAACATGCTTATTTCCACTCTCGGGCTGCTCTGAATGAGAATATTTTGACTCTTTTGGTTCTGATTTTTGCAATTATTGTTTTCGTTTTTGTGTTTAGCTTTTATTGGAGTAAGGGCTCAGTGTATTTTTCCTTGATTTATCTTGATTTTCTATATTGGCAATAGGTTTAGGAGATTATTGTCTATTTGGTGTTCTCATAATCTACAATAATTTATTAGCAGATTTGTTAAGAAGTTCCTCACTCAACTTCATATTCTCATCTTTTATTTCATTAACTTATCCTCGTTCAGGTCTTTGAAATCTATTTAGTCTGGAACTATTACTTTAACTATCAGATCCAGCTCCTCCACCTAGAGGATTTACATTTGCCGAAATCTAAGAGTCATCTAATATCATCTATTTCCTCTACATTTATGAATTTATCACACTTTATTTAATCTTTTAAGTGAGGATATCCTTTACTGTACTATTAGCGTCGTGCTATGCTTTTATAGGGCTGGTACTATTACTAGTCTAAGTTTTAAAGAAATGATTCTCAGTCTAGTTTAAGAACTGAGAATTGCCCATAACAGGCTGATTGTTATTTTGGGCAAAGCTCATAATGCTCTCATTTTATCTTACTTGACTTGTAGCCATTTATCTCTAATGGTCTTAAAGATCTTGTACGAGTTGTCTTAGACTAGTCATCTCCTTTGATAATGCGTCAAATTTAGAGGAATAATCATCTTTTTAAGTTTTAAGGATGGAGTTTTCTTGTTCAATCTTTTGATTTAGCTGCTATAGTTGATACTAAATTTTATCATGCTTTTATAATTGACTTTCCATTTATTGAACTTATGATGATAATTAAAGAATGGTTTAATCTTTTTCTAAGTGTTGAGATTTATTTTACTCTTTAAACTTCTCTAATTATGAAGTTAAACATTTTATCTCTTTGTCTTTAACTCCCAATAGATATTCTAAATCTTCTCTAGTTTTTTTCTCTTCTTTTATTTGAGCTTAAAGTTAGATTATAAATTAATCTTTCATAAATAGCTCTTCTGAATCTTAAAGTAGATTTTAATCCTGTGTTTATTATTGTTACTTTTTCTTCTTCTTCTTTTCAACCTTTTCTATTTATTAGGTTTACTAAAGGGAAACTACTTGCTGCAACTGATTTGCTAAGTTTTCAAGATCTCTCCTAAGATTATCAATTATCGATTCCTTAATCTAATTTTCCTTCTTTTCTTTAATAAGTTAGTTTTCCAAGTAATCTCTTTCTTTATCTAAAACTTATTGAACAGTTCTATCGAGGACTTAATTAGACTTGTAATAATCGCCCAATGTATTAATCTTGTCCATTATCATACTTGTATCCTTATTATTTCTAGTACCCGCAGATGTTGATCTTTTTCTTCCATGGCATTTACCTGAGCTCTAATTGCTTTTGGAATTAGATTTCTTCTTTTTCTTAAGTTGTTTAGTCTATAAGTTTTTAATGACTTTGGATATCTAATCTTCATTTAAGGGCATAAAGCTATTTTCCTTCTCCGCTGGATAGAATTTTTAATGGTTTTTAAACTAAGAATTTTATATTATATTTTAGAAAGTCCTATTTCCTAAATTACTCTAGTTTAAGCCTGGGCTAATATTTCTAGCCTTTCCTTCGATATTAGAGATATTGATATTTACAGGACCATCTCTTAATTCATAGCCAGCTGAAGAATATTTATTGCTTTAAGAATACTCTTCAATTTAAGTAGGGTATGAATTTCCAGTATCATAAGCTAAATCATGCTTTTACTATGATCCTTTTCTGTTATATAATTGAGAATTATCTAGATTCAAAATTCCTAGGTTCCTCTATTACTCTAGTTGACTTTAGAATAATGACTCATTAATATTGTCTTCTCTATAGCCGCCAATGGCGATTGCAAAAGCCCCACCACATGATATTTTCAAGACTTTTTTGTGCTTTAAGTGAGTTACAGGATATGGATAAGGTCGAGGCTCATAATCTCCAACACCTAATTCACCTTTACTATTTGAACCCCAAGTCCAAACTAAACCATCCTTGTCAAGAGCAGATCCAAAACAACCTCCTACGCTCACATCAATTATTTCAGAATCGATTACTACTTTTGGTTCATAAAACGAACCAAAAACACCTGTGCCCCAGAAAAATAACTGTCCTGATTTGGTTAAGGCTGCTGAATGATGACCTGAAGAGATTTTCATAACATTATGAATGTAGTTTATTCTAGTTGGTGTCGATCGGTGCTATATATCTGCATTGCCTAATCCAAGCTATCCAAAAGAGTTATCACCCATTGAATAAACAAATCCACTCTCTATGTAAGTTATATAAATAGATTGATTATTACTTGATAAACACATTGAGTGAAAAATGCCAGTTTAGATTTACACAATTTCTTCTCCGATTCCAGCTATTACTTTTGGTTAATATTCAACTTTGGACTATTCTGTAGGTATTCCAAGCTGTCCATAATCATTCAACCCCGAACTATATACATTTCCATGATCTATTTAATCGTTTATCAATAATAAAATAAATTACTTGAAAGAAACAGTGAGTGTTTTCCACCACTAGCAACATCAATAATTTTTATCATATTTTGCTCAAAGAATTCAATGTGAGTTGGCAATAAACCACCCTAATAACCAAAATTAAAGCCTGATGGATTCTTTGTTGATAATTTTCCGTGACCAAGCTACCCATATTCAAACTGTCCCCAAGTGAAACAGAGACCATCTGAACTAATACAGGCTGAATGATTCCATCCGCATGAGAGACCAACAATATCATAATTTACGAGTAACTCAATTAATTTTGGAGTATTTGAATAGTCAAATCCTAATTTATGAACATGATTGCTAGCATTTAGATTTTTCACTCCTAGTTTATTGAATTGATTACTTCCCATAGAATATACATGGCCATTCTCTGTAAGCAGACAAGAATGATCCTCTCCACAAGCAACTTCCTTAATTCTAGTCTGAAAGGTACAGGATTTAGGGATATTAAGTTTTCTCTCTTCTTCAGATGGCTATTGTAAGCTACTATTTTTATTATTTAGAGATCTTTATGAATCTTAATGATATCTGTGACCAAGTCCAAGCTATCCGAATTCATCATTCCCCCAAACATATATCTCAGTGTGCTAAGTTTATCCTTTCATATTTTGTTCGATTTAATTTAATTTCAAATTCAAATTATTTTCAACAACTCTGCCATGTGGGGTTTTGGGGTTTTGGGGTTTTGGGGTTTTGGGG